GCCCAATTTAGATTCTAGCTTCTTAGAATCAGCCACTTTTCTGACTGCTTTCATGAAGTCTTCTTGTACTACAAAATCATGATCAGCACGAATTGCAAACATACCTGCTTCAGTGCAGACATTTCTTAGGTCTGCTCCATTGAAGCCATCTGAAAGCTTCACAATTGCTTCATGATCTATTTCACCATGCTTTGTAATGGGGCCTGCATGGATTTTCAATATATCTCATCTTGCTTGTTTCATTTGGCAAATCAGTATGTATTTTTCTAATCTTCCTGGGTGCAGCAAAGCAGGATCCAGTGTATCTGGTCTGTTTGTAGCCATGATCATTTTAACTCTATGCAGAGTATCAAATCCATCCATTTGATTCAGTAACTCCATTAAGGTTCTGTGACTCTATCAGCTGAAGTACCCTCAGAAAAATGACGACCACCAATACTACCTATTTCATCCATAAAAATGATGCACGGCTGATGGTCCCTGTCATAATTAAACATTTCTCTGATCAAACAAGCACTTTCACCAATATACTTGTCTACAATAGAACTAGATACAACCTTCAAAAAATTGCAGTCCAGCTGGTTAGCAACAGCTCTGGCCAAGAGAGTTTTCCCTGTACCTGGTGGTCCACATAATAAACAGCCTTTTGGAGGTATTATTCCTACACGCTAGAACTATTCTGGGTTTGTAAGAGGCAGTTCTATCACCTCTCTTAATTCCCGAATCTGTTCTGACAGCCCTCCAGACTCAGAATATGAAACGTTCCCAGGGTCCTCATGAGACATACTGTATAAATCAGTGGATCCACTTCTCTTGGCAAGTATCTCATGATAGTTAGCATAGTCATGTCCAAAGCAACCCTTGTTCCTGGCTTTAGCTTACTTTGTCAAGCTGTCGGCGACACCCCACAACATATCTTGGCCCATTTGTAGCTTTAACAATACATTTTTCTTCATCTACAATCTGGCTAACACTTTGCAGGGCCTTCAGATCATTTTCAGACTTTTCATACTGCTTGGTAAGTTCTTTTAATTGTTCCCTTAACTCCTTGAGACGGCCATCGATCTCCTTGTGCTCCAGCAGTTTCTTGCAGTAATCCTGAAGCACCTTATTCCTAGGGTCTGCCATGATGAGAAGCCCCATACTTTTTCAATCTACATGCAGAACACATTATCCAGGAGGCTGGGCTCTATGAAGAGAAATGTGGCATCAGGATTGGAGGTAGAACTCATCAACAACCTGAATTATGCACATGACACAATCCTGCTTGCTGAGGCTGAGGAGGACCTAAAGCACATGCTATAGAAGGTCAAGGACTGCAGCCTTAAAAATGGATTGAAAAAAAAAATGGATTGAAGCTCAACATCAAGAAAACAAAGATTCTCACCACTGGGCTGATTGGCAGCATCATGATAGATGGCAGAGATTGAGATTGTTAACAGCTTTAGTTTGCTTGGTTGCACAATCAATACTCTTCGTACCAGCAGCCAGGAAATAAAAAGACAAATTGCATTGGGAAAGTCTGCTGTCAGAGATCTCTCCAAAGTACTGAAGAGCAGTGATGTCAGTCTGGAGACTAAGGTGTGCCTGATCCAGGCCATGATCTTTGCAATTTCTTGCTATATATGGGAAAGCTGGACAATGACTAGGAATAATAGGATCATTTATGCCTTTGAGCTGTGGTGCTGGAGAAGAGTATTGAATAAACCAGGGACTGCTAGGAGAACAAATAGGTTCATCCTGGAGAGGGTGGAGCCAGGCTGCTCTTTGGAGGCAAGGATTCTGAAGCTCCGTCAGACATACTTTGGACATATTGCAAAGCGGGATCAGTCCTTGGAGAGGGACATCAAACTTGGGAGGATGGAGGGACAGTGAGAGAGAGAGAGAGAGAGAGAGAGAGAGAGA